GCAAGCAGGCCTCTGAGCCACCACCCTCAAGTCAAGCTTGAAAAGGAACAGGACCACGGAGGTTGACTCTGTATGGATCAGGCCACCTTCAGGTTCCAGTACACTGGACACAGAATGGAGAGAGAGGAGGGAGGTTTTCCACTCCACCTAGAGCACAGCAAGGAGGAGGCCTTGAGTAGCCCCCTGACGTCATCTGAAGCCAGAGTAGACCAGGAGAAATCTAAGCATTTCCCAGGTCTCAAGACGGCCGCCAAAAGATCTAAGTAAGGCAGGGTGGTGTGGGCTGGGCAGACGGATCAGCTGGTAAAGGGCTTGTCATGCGAGCCGTAGAGTCTGAGTTCCATTCCCAGAACCCACATAAAAAGCCAGGCATGGATCTCTGGGGCTCTCCAGCCAACCAGCCTGCTTAGTGAGTTCCAGGCCAGCGAGAGACCCTGTGTCGGGAACCCCAGCCAAGCCGTGTGGAACCCTAGGTTGTCTCCAGGGTTCCCACCCTTATGCACACACGGGCACACGCCCAAATCGGCCCTGTGGAAGAGCCTGCGCTTGAGAGTAAATCTATTCAGCAACTCAGAGGGTAGTGACATCAACAAATGGCAAACGTCAAAGTCACTCTTCCAGAGTGTCAATGTCTGTAGAGGACCGTTAAGCCTTCAGAAGAACTGGAGGTACAAAGTAGAAATCACGTTTAGCTTTAGGCGGAAGTTACCACTGACACCCGCATATCTCTTCTAACACCTTTGGGTGGGAACTACCCTCCCGCCATCCGTAGGTTTTTCTCTGAGCTTCTGCTTGTTCTTAATGGGTGTTTTTCTTAGCCTCAGTCAGCCTGCCTACATAAAGCATTTCCCACACTCTTCTGTTTACACGAACTCGTATTTTAGTTGCGGCCCTTGTCCATTGCTGTGTAGTTGTTTCTTCCTTGGGCTGTGAGCTTTGTGCGGGATGCCTCTTTGGCATGCAAGATTGCCTAGAATTTGTTAGTCAAGGAGACAGAGCAGTGGGGTGACTCCATGGTGGCGGTTGACTGGCTGGGGCCTCACCTCTTAGTGACACAGAGTGCAGAGAGCCGGGCCAGGGTTAAAAACCCCACTCCATTGATCCATTCCCTCACATGAGACCCCACCTCCTACAGTCACCCCCACGGCTTAGCCAGGCAGAGTGGCACCACGGTGGCCTCTGTCCGTAATCTCTGCATTCAGGAGGCGGAGGCAGGTGGCTCTCGATGATTCCAAGACACAGTCAACCCATAGGGTTCCAGCCCATCCAGAGATGTAGAGAGAGGCCCTGTCTAAAAACAAAGCAAAACACCGCCACGTCCTCAGCGCCTTAGACAGTGCCACCGGGGGACAAGTGTCCAAGTACAAGTGCCTCCAGGAGGCACTTCACCTTCAGACCTACACACCCAGGGATTCCTGTCTAGGGTCCACCTCTGGAAACACAGCCTAAATCCCTCTCAGCCTACAGCCTGGAGCCCGCGCTACTTCTCAGCTTTGCTTGGTGTTAAGTGTGAGTTTGTGTTTACTCCCTGTTGTAAGAGGCCCATGTCTCACAAACGGGAGTTCTTCAGCAGTGAGGTGGTCATGGACCTGCCCGAGCCTCTCCCTTCAAGGTTCCTCATATTATGTGGAACCCCGGGGTCTGAGGTGGCAGCTGCTTCCTGCTTTTGGTTGACATTTTACTTATTAATTTGTGTGTGTGTGTGTGTGTGTGTGTGTGTGTGTAACCCATGTGCCACGGCGCCAGGTAGAGGTGACAGGACAGCTCCCTTTCTACTTTGTGGGCCCCAGGGCTTGAACTCAGGTCATCAGGCTTGGCAGCTAGTGCCTTCACCACTGAGCCAGCTCCCCAGCCCTGGTTTTCTTTTGTTGTTGTTGTTGTTTGGGGGGGTGCTATGGGTCTTCGAATAGCTGAGGCAAACAAATTATAGAGCTCAGGATGACCTTGAACTACTGAGCCTCCTGCCTCTAGCTCCCAACTAAGGGGATTCCAGGTGGATACTACCATCTTAACTCAAGCATGCCCATGTTGAGCGTGTGCTACAATAAGATTGTTGGCGCATGTGTATACCCAGGTCTCCTATGTGCGGTGAGATACAGTAAAATTCTATTGAGCACTGCTAGAAATATTTTCTCCGTAGATGATCCTTCCTGTGCTCTGATATCCGGACATGTGATTATACGAAGACCCATGCACTCCATCTCCTTTTGTGTCTTTTGAACTACATGAGGATATAGCTCAGGACAGAGGGTTTTCTATAGGAACTAGGTCCTTAATTCAAAAAATAAAGTAAGTTTCTGCCTTATGAGTCAGGCATAGTGGATGGCACCTGTAATGTCAGCTTGCAGGAGGCTAGGGTAGGAAGGTCTTGAGTTCAAGGCTAGCCTTATTCATTATCCATTAGTGAGAGGCTGTCTCAAAAAATGTAAGAAACAAAAAAAAAAAAACCAAAAACCACAGGGATTTACAGCTTTAAAATGTATTCTTCTTGATGTTATTT